CTCTTCCCGCTTCAGTGCTTCAATGCGGGGGTGTGTGCTGGTTGTGCCGGACGGAAATCTCCAAGACGAGCCGTACCCGAATGTTAGATACTTGACCAGAGTATCTGACCCAAGACCCATCCAATCACTGCCCTTGTCGCCCCTGGATGGGGAGCTGTCAGTGCTACTTTGGCGCGTCCCTTGTGCGGCCTCCTGTGCAGCTTTCGATGCTCCTAATACGAGGGGAGGGGGTATCCCTGGGGCAAAGCTGCGTTTTGTCTTCGTGAGTTGGGATTTGTCGGTACGGCTAGCTGAGAGAGATTTCGGAGCTGATCGACCACGGTGTCGCCGTCGGCGTTTTCCTCGTCGCGGTGACGTCGGGTCCTCACCCACCCCATACGCATCATAGCCATATCTGAAGATCCATTCCATCCACTGAGAGACCTGTACCAGAGAAGTCCTCGAGATATTGCCGACTCCGGAGAATATGACACCATCTGATGGACGAGGGTAGACGTCCGAACCAAGCCAACTTCCCTGATTTTCGCCGGCATCAGCAGGATCTTCAGACCTCTTTGTCGTTGCAAAATCCTCCGCCGCGGAAGGAGGATCGCCGAAACGGGAGACGACTAGATCCACTAGGCCGTCTGCTCTGAGTACATAGTCCTCAAGAACCTCTCTCTCCCCGCTTCCCCATTCTTCCTCGCCCACTCCGATGCCAAGCTCGCCGCCAGCAGAGAGCTTTATGCCATTATATAATTCAACGGTGGGGTTCCCGGTCAGGAGAATGTCCCAGCTCCATGCAAATTTGCTCCAAAAGCGCTCAAGAAACATGCAAAATGAGGACCTTCCAAAGCGGTCGTACAGACGCTGAAGCGTAAGCTCATGATGAAGGAGGAATATGGAATGAGCCCGGCGTAGCTGTTGTTTCAAGAGTTGCGGCGGACAAATCTCTCTCGAGGAGTAATAGAAAGGAGAAGCACCGGATGTATCTTGCGGGGAGGCAGCGCCACTTGCCGAATCATTGGGAAGCCTCGTGAGATCTATCGACTGTGATCGCATCGTCAGCGATCAACTCAGAAATGCCCCGCGACGCGTTCCTTACTGCTAGTATCCACCAATTTTCCTCCAACTCATGTAGTATGACGGTTGATTTTTCTGTCTCCACATAATCGACCGATTTACCGTCGGAAAAATTCCTGGAGTACCATCTCAGCTTTACTCAGCCTCTGCAAACGTTGTGAGTCGAACCTGGCGAAGCTGACCATTCCCTGCGCCAGTCCTATCTGGCGCAGCCTCTCATTTTGCCCCTCAGTAAGCTTTGCATCATCGTTACCAACAGCCGATCGTTCATTTGGTCGTGATCGCTCTGTTCTGGAGGTATAAAAAACAACCTGATCGCCGAAACTCTCGTCTGTCGGTCCGAGGAGGGGGTTGTATATCGCAAGGAATGAGAGCTGCGCGGGAACCACCGAAGTCAAGTCGCTATCTGGCATCGCATGTTCAGATCATGCCACACTGCTCATCACAGAGATGTGGCACACTTGAGCACGACTGTGTCGTTGGAAGTCGAGCTGCGCTGATCATATTAGGCATGTTGATACGGTGACATCACGTGGCTGAGCAGCGGGAAAGCTTCCGCGGAGCTTCACTTCACAACCGCGACAGCCAAATAGCAAATACAGAACCCGTCTCACGAGCACATGGGCAGGTTCAGACCATGGCTCATCTCATGAGAGCTGGAGCTCTTTGCCACTATAGAAGCGCTCTTTCAAAGCGCAGCTTTGGATATCGATTTCTTGCGACGAAAACATACGACCCTCTCCGTATCCTCTTTTGCGGAGCTGACGAGTTCAGCATAGCTTCCTTGAGAGCTCTACACGAAGAACATGTCAAACGACCGGATCGAATATCGTCAATTGACGTTGTTTGCAGACCTGGGAAAAGAGTAGGGAGGGGTTTGAAAAAAATACGGGAGGGTACTCTGTCCACTTTCAAGGATCAATGTGCTTGGAACTATGCTCACTCATTCTATCTGATCCATAGTCCCTATCAAGGCGGTTGCAACAGAACTTTCACTTCCAATTCATGAGATAGACACATTCAAAGGCTGGGCGGTAATTTATAGCCCTCATCGACTCAGTAGACTTGCGTACTGATGCTGTTAGCCTCCAATACTGCCCGGAGGTCCCATCAATCTGATAGTGGCTGTGTCCTTTGGCTTATTCGTGCCTCCCCGAATCCTCAATGCCGCCAAGTACGGTGGATTGAACGTTCATCCATCTTTGCTTCCCGAGTAGGGCCCTCAAAATTCTAAGCAGTTCCTCAAGAGGGTCCATCTAACGAGCGAATGTCTAGTTTCCGTGGTCCGGCCCCGCTACACCATACTCTTCTAGCAGGGAGGACGAAAACCGGCGTTACGCTTCAAACCCTACATATCAAGCATTTCGATCACGGCGTCATCCTTCAGCAGACTCCAGCCCCCGGTTTTGAGATACCGGATCCTGACACATGCACCGTTCCGGAGCTCCTAAACATCGTTGCCCCTAAGGGAGCGGAGATCCTCTTGGATGGTATTCGCAAAGGATTGTTCGTCCCTCCCATAGAAGACGCAGGCTGGCGGGCATCACAGAGCGACGAGCCATTAATTCATGCGGCGAAGATCAAGCCAGAGGATCGACACATAGACTGGGTGAATTGGACGTGGAAGGACATCAACAGGCGGAATCGCGTGCTCGGTCCGCTCTGGAGCAAAACCCTCGCGGTTACCGATCCTACTTCAGGAAATCCCTTGTTCCAACAGCGCAGGGTAATCCTGAGCGAGATGGAGGAAGTAGATACGCTAAAGGGCTGCGAGGCTCTCTCTCTTGTTCCCGGCTTGCCTTTCGTGGACAGCGCACATCCGATTGATCGCCAACAAGGAAAGGGGCTGTACGTGTTCACAAGAGATGGCAAACTGATTCGGATCCATCAAATGAAGGTCGAAGGAGAACAGAATGCAGATGGTGTTCGCGCTGCGCTCAAAGCTCGGATGCTTAGCGATCGAACCTTCCACTGTGGCGCTGCCGACTTCACTCCGTTCCATAACCCTTTGCAATAAACCCAAGAAGAGCGAGCATCGTCATTTCCTTTTCATTATTCTAACAATATGATACCGCTTACAACGTTGCTCGAGTCTCAAGATCTATATACTTCGCAGCTATCACTCATGCTCCAGCTGGTCTTCGGGGCAACAACGCTTATTTGATCGCAAAACCGGCATCTGTGTTATCAGCATTGCGATAAAGCACATAAATTGGATCACCTACCAACTTGGATGGACTGTCCAGTCATGGACGAGTTCTGAGCCAGCATAACATATGCATTGGCAGCGTCCTCCACCTCAGGCTAAGGGTCACTCGGTTAGCAGACGAGGGGCGAGTATAAAAATTCGCCCTAGCTTACCAATTTCCCAAGTACCGCTTTGTTCTTGAAGGCTGCGATCTTTTCAGGAGGGAACCGTTGACCCTGTAATTTGATTAGCCCCAGTTCTGCGCTGCTCACTCTGTTACAGTCTGACATACCCATTCAGTGAGCAAGAGAGCAGGAACCACAGCGTTGACACGGACTTTTGAACCTTGACTCTGTGCGAGACACTTCATAAGGTGCAAACCTATGTTGAAATTGTGAGTCATGGTTCACTTATGGTTGTGCCTATGGATCCTACCTGCTGCCTTTGTCACAGCGTACGGTATGCTGCTTCCGCTTGGTGTGACAGCCTAAATGATTCTTGTAAGCGCCAACCTTCACAATATATATTTACCCCAAGATGGGATTGGTGGCTACCTACCGCAGTGGACGACGTGATAATGAAGACACCGCCGTCGGGGTTTGCGTTGAATGTAGGAAGTGCTTCCTTGAAGAGGTACCAACTACTCTTGACATTCGTTGTCCAGCACTGGGTGAAACTGTCAGCTGTTGTTGTCCATAAAAGCGGACTTCTTACCCTGTCCCAGTCGTCATCATCCATGGCGTCTAAATCGCTAAATGTAGTCATTTTGGTCCAGCCCTTGACGACAATTAGTCCGAGGCAATATAGTGAGAAGCATTCACTGATAGAACTCACTGCATTTGAGATCACAATATCCAGACCTCCAAGCTGTGCAATTGTGGTCTTGATCGCATTGCTGCAGTCTTGACGGCGACTGGCGTCCTACATTTCCAGGCCTCCGTCAATTGTCCAGCTCATTGAATCTGTCTAGCGCGCATTTGTGGATTACCACAGCAGGCAAGCAAGACTTACACCTTGAATAGTGATTGCCTTGACGCCGTACCGAGTCTGTAGGCTGGACGCGAGCTCCTCCGCAACGTCTTTGCTCGAAAGGTAGTTGATCGCAACGTTACACCCTTCGGCAGCGTACTTTTGAGCCACTAGAGCTCCCAATCCTCTGAAATCCCGTCAGCGTCATTCAACAATAAGAAGCCGGATTAGCAGATGTACCGAGAGCCACCAGTAATCAGGGCATTGCGCCCTTTTAAGGAGTAGGACATGATTTCCCCAAATACTTTTCCAGAGGTATATTTATGAAGAATCTAGACAGCCAGTATCTAAGTGATATAAGGAAGAATAATTGTCGAGACATAAATAGTATATTGGTCGACCGACGCGGGGTAAAGCATTCAGCTATGGGGAAGATATCGGTATAATTCCGATATCTGGTTGGGAGCGGAATTATGAGCTGTCCTCTGACTTGACAGGTGGAGCTTGCTACTCCCTATTCCTACATATGCACCGGCGCCCTCTTTAAGAAAGGCAATAGGCAGGCACAAGGCTCAATTGACCATCTCAATCTCAAGTACGGCGGGAAGGACATACTGAATCGAGGAGGTGCACTAGGCGCGCATACCTGACCTCGGCTTTGCTGTTAGTGTGTGTGGTTGATAGACACAGCTATATCGTCTGTCATTATCTAACAGTAACTGTGATAGTATACATAATCTAAGAAATATGGTAGATTGAATCTCAAGCCATCAGAATGCAATTAGTCTACCAGCGTGCCGGCATATTCGGTTTTCCTCATGCCCCTCCAGGCCTGTTTTCCTGCCAGATCAGGCCATTGCACAAGAAATCGATCAGCAAAAGGTAACAGTAGCCTTCCGCTTAGACTAAATGTTGTGACCCGTGCCCATGACTCTACGTAAATGGTACGCAGCTGGAAGTAAACTGGCGCTGGCGCGTCCTCTGATCTCTTCGCATGGGATGATCTCGAGCTATCCCTGTCTTGGCGGTTCTTGATATTGAAAAGAGACCCCAGATAGTGAGACAGTCGCAAAAGTTTGGCAGCCAAAACCATACAGACTGCAGTAGCCGGACCGTTGGTAAGGATGACGTCCGGGTATGGCGAGTTAGTTCTCGGAAGCGGCGACTTTTGCTCGGGATGACGGCCGCGGAGTACAAGGAGGCAAGCATAGAAACATTGAAGGGTCGAAAGAGGAGCAGTCAGGTAAGACTGGTGCACACGGCGAGCGCGAGGAACCGTGACGATTGCGTAGGACTCTGCGGTGTTGCTGCCATTGGCAGGTAATGATAGCTTTGGACTTTGCTTCAGCCATTCTGTCTCAAACTCCACAGCCCTCGCAGCGCTGAAATCGTCGCCCGAGCTGACAATGTACGTACGGTAAGTATATGTCGAGGGGTCGAGTTTCATACGCCGCAACATAGAGAACATCTCCGCAGTATGTCCGCCGCTGCCTAGGACGACGAGAAGATGAGTTGGACTATTCTTTCGTCGCCACTTCGGAACTATTGAATTTTGCGATATTGATAGAGCACGAATGCAGAGCTGAAAATAGAGTCATGAGCATGCAGCAAAGAAGGAGGGATTGAGCAGTGCCCTCACAATTAATGCTATAGCGCCGCATATGACCACAAACAAGAGGCCATAGAGGATTAACCTGACCCACGGCGAAGCCATGGGGAGCTTATTTTCGCGATTTCAGACGAAGATTGCCAGTTGAAGTAATATTAGGTACTGTTGTAGCTAGATGTCGTCCTCAACGTAGAGCACTTGAAGACACGATATCAGCAAACGACACCTGTTTCGCTTGATTTTGTTGGCATCCTAGCTCGGACAACTCTTCAAAGCTGGAAATACACCTAAGATTATCATTCAGTTGCTGCTACCCTAGACTCAATGAGCCATTGTGTCTTGGGATATCTGGAGTTGTCAACATTTCCATGGTGTTATATCATTGGATTAGTTGCAGACGGCACGTGGTCCGTGCGGATGTCGGTGATTATTTTCCTGTTGTTGTCTTAACTCCTGCGATAGACAAAAACACCGAAGATACCCTTTATCATAATCCCATAAGTAAATTGTTTTCAAGCGAACTAGATTCTCTCCTGGAACAATCATCATCAATGCCATCGGATCTGACATGAAATACTAAACCATGTTCTCCAAGCGACTAAGCTGCTTCTATTGTGGACATCGCTCTGCGCAGGCTGATAGAAACGTTCGCAAATGGCGCTGCAAACACTGCGAAGCGGTCAACTACCTGGACGAGGTATGTGCTGGCTTTTGTTCGCCTTTCTTTCTTATTATATTCCGAGTTAACGCAGATGCCGTCACTAGAACGGGGAGATTACCGACCCTCCCGCCGCTGAAACGAATTCCGCTGTTTACGGTCCTGGGGCCACAGACGTGCCCTTTGAGTCAGTTGATCTTACAGGATCCGGTCTCTTCTGTGCTCAGTGTGTTCGCAACCAGCATCTCTTCACAAGTGCACTTGCCTCTTATTTTCCGTCGCCGGAGGATCCAAATTATAGCGCCTACGAGCGGGAATATCCCAGTTTTCGCAGGAACCTGGAGGAACGATATCCGCAAGTATGCGCAAACTGCGAACCTCGGGTGAAGGAACGGATACGTCAAGCTGGATATGAGGCGAAATCGGACCACCTTCGACGGATGATGGACAGGAGCAAAGCGGGAAGGGCGGCGAGACACGCGCGGCGGTGGAATTGGAGGAATCTACTGGTGTCAGCGGGTGCCATGGGTTATTGGGGCAGCGTTGCTGGTCAACTGTCCTGGGACACTCTGGGTGCTCTGAGTGCCGATCATCATCTCCGCGATAGGTACGATGACTTATCCCCGCCGTCCATTGCGTCGTGCGCTCGTGCGACATTACAGACACATCAACTACCGAGCTCGTGCTGGATTGATTTGTCTCCCTACGCTGGCCTGGCTCTGATTGCGGGGATCTTGTCCTTGTGGTGGAACCCGAAACTGCGACTCAAGGTCGAAGGCAGAGGAGGACGTTTCGTCGGGCTGGGCGAATACTATCAGGTGCAGCTCATCGTCATGGTGGCGCGATGCGTCTTCTGGGCTGTACTTAAAGACCCTTCTTCGAGTGGACTACAACCGACATTACCGCCGGCTCTGCATCTATTTATGATACTCTTCACGATTATGGTAAGTCTCCTTGTTGAGGGACGAATAAATCGCACGCTGACAGTTTCTCAAGTCCGTCGTTATCTCTCGGCGCGTTGTCAAGTATGACACTCGCCCATTGGTTGCATGGTCGGATAGCACGCCAACGGCGACTCCTAGTAGGAAAGCCGTTGCGTCACCCGTTGCGCAATCGAGCGCTACGCCTCAGCGTTTCACCAGCCTTCGCGGAACCGACCAGCAAGCTACTCCACGCTTCCCACTTGAGAAGCTGGCAACTCCCCGACCAGCACCCGAAACGGAGCCGGTTATTCCCCCCACGCCCCCACCAGAGGTGGACGACATGGACTGGACCCCTTCTGTACAGCACGAAATCACGCCGACGGTTAGTGTTCGTCAGAGAGACACACCGTCTGTCCTCAATGGACCTCTACCGTTCTATGGATCACTACCTGCGGCCCCTAAACCGCCATCATGGGCCCTTCGGACCCAATCTTCGCGGCCGAAGCCTATCCAGCAGGTTGTCGAACGCAACCCATTTCACCGCACACCCACTCAGTCGCCTAGTTCCTGGAAAGGTAACCCCACCAGTCAGGCGGATTCGGTGTTTGCACCTCCAAAGTTCTTTCCTACCAGTGACCATCTTGCTTCAACTGGCCTGGAGAGTTTGTTCGACCGAGCTTTTACGATCAAATCCCCTGAGGATGAGGGCAACGAGAACTGGCAGCAGCACCAGCAAGCATCGAGTGCGCACGCTCGCCAGTCCGCGGATATGCAGACGCTCTTTATGTTCCAGTACTTTCGGGTGGGCCTGCTACTAGCATCTATTGCTGCCTGGCTTCTATCACAGTATAACCATCTCTCAATTCCTGGCAATTACGTCGAAGTGGCTTCTCTTGGGAGTGCAAGTCTGATTGCAGGATTTGCACTGTTGGATGTCCTCAAGCAGCCCATCGCGCAATGGAACGGCATGGAAATGCTTGTTTATTTTGCCGAGCTTGTGGCGGCCGTCCACCTTGGGGGGCACCTTCCACATGTTTCGTTTGAGAGACATTATTTCGACAGATACGGGAAACTTCTGTTGATCTTCATGACCGTTCAGGAAGCATTGGGGCTGTTATCTCTCTACCGTATTGCCACAACTGGCGATACCGGCTCTCAAGTGCAGCAGCCCAGCCAGTCTCCGGACGAAAAATCTTCGGGCTGTCCATCACTCGGGAGTCATGTTCGGCCCGAGCAACCATCTTCATCATTCAGTTCTGCTGAGCCCCCTGTCCCTCCTCTGTCATTTTCCTCGACTGCTGCCGGTTCTAGCTTCATGACTCGGTCACCACAAACACAGTACCAACTAGCATTTCCGAACCAGAATCAGGGCCTCAAACGTGATCACAGCTTCACATTGAATAGTCTCAAGGACAATGAATCCGACTTCTCTGATGCCTACGATCGCGATTCAGACACCGAGACGACCGTGACGACGGCGACGACAGCCACAAGCAACACGGTCAGGAATATTCGCTACGGACGGAACCCGACCGATACATTCTTCTCACCAAGACGCTCAGAGCTTGGCCCTGGAATCGGGGGGTTGAGTCTTGATGACAAGCCCACCCGGCGAGTGACGCGCAGTCAGTCGCAGAGACTCGCCGGAAATGAGGGAATCCGTAAATACTCGATGCGCGGGTTGAAGTAACCGTCTGGACAGTTTCAACCATTTCTTCTTTTTATGCTATGACACGCATTAGCGGCGTTGGGGTTTGTGTTCTTTTGAGATCCAGATATTTGCATTCATTAAGATATTGGGTTGTGTCACAAGTTCAATTGTCAGAAGCGTTCAAGGGTTGATTGATTGATTGATCCATTTTGCATCCACTTACCTCAAGTCTGTCTCCTTGTTTCATCACTCTGCTATGTGGGAATTTACCGCGGGTTTGTACATAACGACAGGAATATACGACTTACGACCAATGATGAATAAATAGTTAGCCCTACAAGTTCTGATGCCACGTACTATAATCAAAACTACCATCTATCAAACAGGATAATCTTATTCATAGCAAGTTACCAGAACTCTCACCAGGACATTACAAGCAGAGCTATCTACAGCCTTTCAACCCTTGTCTCAACGACGGTCTCAGCCTCCTTGTCGGTCGAACTCATGGCCCGCTCGGCATCGGCCACCTTGCTATCCTCGGGGGTCGTGACGCCGAACAACTCATCCATTTTCTCGAGTGAGAGACCTATTCTCATCAGTATGAACTGTTGATGCAAATTTTTGAGCAGTGGGAGAGTTACCCTTGGTCTCAGGGATGAAGAACCATACGAACACACCCATGGAGAGACAAAAGCAGGAGAAGATGATGTACGTTCTTTGACCGTTAGCATACTTTACTTCGGATGAGGGGATACTGGGGAGGGAAAGAGGTACCCGTAACCATTCGCACCGACGGTAGCAAGCATATTGGGGACGGCGCGGGCGACGACAAAGTTGAAGAGCCACTGGGTAGCGGCAGCGAAGGAGACGTTCAGGCCTCGCAGGCGGGCGGTGGGAATCTCGGAGACGTAGATCCAGCAGACGGGCCCCCAGCCGAACTGGAAGCAGGCGGCGAAGAGGAAAATGCAGACGAGGGCGACGTAGCCGGCGGGGATGACGGGCTCGCCGGTCTTGGGGGGCGCGATGCGGACGTACAGTCCGATGTAGAGCATGGTTAGGCCCTGGGCGACGGAGGTCCAGAGGAGGGAGCGGCGGCGGCCGAGGGAATCGGCGACGAAGACGAGGAAGACGGCGCAGCCGACGACCTTGACAATGCCGTAGACGCCGGTCGCGAAGAGGCCGGTGGCGTTGCCGGTGACGCCGAGGTTCTTGAAGATCTGGGGCGCGTAGTAGTTGATTGCGTTGGTGCCGGTCATCTGCTGGCAGATCATGAGGAAGATGCTGATGAGGGCGCGCTTGCGGTTGCCCGGGATCGTCCACATCTCCCGCATGAGGTCCCAGGGGCCCGAGCCGCCGATGAGCTGGCGCTCGTGCTCGAGCTGCGCGACGATGTCCTGGAATTCGCGCTCGACGTAGGGGTGGGTGGGGGGCAGGTGGCGCACTTGGGATAGTGTGGCGCGCGCGGCTTCCCAGCGGTCCTGGCGGGCGAGCCAGCGGGGGGACTCGTTGCACAGGAGCATACCGACCAGGAGGAGGATGGCGGGGAGGGCCTGCATGGCCAGCGGTACGAGGTACATGGCAGGGCCGGTGATGTGCAGCAGGGAGCCGTAGTTGATCCAGAACGCCA